AGTACTGCTAAAATAACAGGTTCTTTTGAAGGGATATAAACTAGCTTGGGGTCATCAAAATCCGGGAGGTAGAAAAGCCCTGCTAGGAAAAATTCTTCCTCCCATATACACTGAGAGCATGTTTTATTCCTCCAAGATGGTGCTCACCAGATTTTTGTCCCTGCTAGAAAGTGCACATCACATATTTGGTTTAATTCCATGCTGGACGCATTTTCCCCTGAATCTGTATGTCAGTGTATCAGCTTTAGGTAAGTGATGTTCTAAGACCCCTCAGAGTGATGCTGCTGATGCTCCAGGTCGGATGGTCACTATTTCACACTATTTCACACTATTTCAGACTATTTCACACTATTTCAGCCTAACACCTGCAATACCAGGACTTATACTAAATACTTTCCACAAATTTATCCATCTCCTCCTTTTCTTATAAATCCACTCTTCATTTCCAACACTTAAATTCTTGTTGTGACCCTTTGAAATACTGAGGTAAAATGCTCATGGTTAGTTGGTACTGGCTTCCAGAAGTGTTGTGTTGTATCTATTTTAAGAATATATTCATTATTGATTTGGACACTGCTACTGCAAACAGGCACCAGCCTTGCCTTATTCCTTTGCCTTCAAAGGATTTGTCTTTCAGATCTGCCAAGACATGGAATTATTCAGAGCAAACCTGGTTTACATAATATTTGTAGAATATTTTGAAAGTGAGATAATCTCATCCTCCTCTCCCAGATGTTTTCAGATTAAGACAGGGAAGTTTCTCTGTTCTCTGCAGCATGTGTGAGTCACTCTTTGGAGTGTGGGCTGTATTTGTGTTTACACTGCCATGGAAACTGTGTTTGTTCTCTGTACAGTAGAGCCCAGGACAGTGAAAGGGCCATTGATCCAGCAGAGGCAGTGACTGCATATTCACCACCAAAAACTGACTCGAGCACCCTGCACATTCCCTTGCCCTCTGGAAAAGAAAGCTGCAAGGCAAGGCAGCAGGAGCAGCGAGCCTTGGGAGCAGCAGAATCCTCTCTGTCCCTTCAGTAATGACAGGAATGAGCCCCACAATGTGGGCTCTTCCCAGCGAGCCTGGTGCCTGCAGTTGTCAGAAATACTGACCAGAAGGAGCAGGATGGAGATTCTCACATCCATCTGAGGCTCATTTCAGTGCCCTCCTGTGGAATGGATGGGGTTCCTTGTCAGGCCCATTCTTCCCCAGGTTTCAGATGGAATCCCAAGTCCACAGGGCACCCAGCACAGGCACATGCACGGGTGCAGCTGCAGGTAAAAGCAAGGAGACCTTAGGGATTGGGTCAGAGCAGCAATTTCAGCTCTGCAGAGAAAAATGCCATATTTCACTGCTGTTGCTTTCCTCCAAATAAATAAACATCATCCCGGTTTAATCTTAGATACCAAGATTTGCTAAATTGTTTTTTGAGCTCGTATGAGCAGGATCTAGGTCACGAAAAGGCAGTGAGCTGAGAGGAAATCCAAGAGATGTTCAGCACAAGGCAGTGCTGCACAAGGAGCTCCCTGGTCCTCCCTCCTGGCACTCCAGGGCAGGCAGAGCAATGCCAGCAGCTGGAATTTGGCTGGAGCAGCGTTAAAAGTTTGTATTTTGAGGATGTGGCACAGTGAGGCTGGGGCATGTCAGAACTTTATATACAAAGGCCACAAGTGCAGAGACTGTATGCACTGAATTAGACTTAATGGAAGAAACAGGAATGTTTTTCGGGGCTATTTTATCTCTTTATGCACAAATATAAAACCAGACAAAGTTCTGGCATTACATCCTTACCTATCGTGGCTGGGTGTTTCTGCCTCAGTGGGTTTAAACAAGGATGGATGCAATTCAGGTCATGCTGCAGCTGAAGTGGGAGGAAATTCTGAAAGGTTTGTCGTCAGTGTGCAAGAAAGTCGAAAGGAAAGAAAATTCAGTGATAACCACGCTTGTTAGTTCAGCAAAGAACAGTCACGTGGGAGCCTGGAGAAACCAGATCAATGAACTGAAAGACAACAAATGAGATGAGCCTTCAGCTGTGAAGGGATGGATGTTTCCTCAGTCAAGAAGAACGAGGCAGTTCATAGAAGTGGAATACTCCACTCTGAAGGAGTATTCTAATTTTTGCCCAAGGATCTCAGTTTTTCTTTTTATCCTGAAATAAACCATGTAGTTTTCTGCTTCAGGGAGTTTTATTCTTGGCTCTGTGTTTTCTCGGAGATCTGATTTTCCAGTGCACTGCACCATCTGCTCATGGTTTACACCACGACAGAGCGGGAGGAGTGCAGGGCCTGGCATGAGGTGTCGGTGCTGCTTTGAACCAGTTGTCTACACGCAAGAGAAAAATGCTGCTTACTAAGGAAATCCTACTGAGAAAATAGTTCAGATTTTTCTCTCCTCTTGCAAGTTCCCAGGAGTTTGGAGCTCATGAATATTCTGGTCTTTTTTTTTATTCTGTGCTCATGAACTCCTCTATCAGTCTCCTGGGACAGGAGCAGCCCCGGAGGCTGGAAAAGGGATCAAAAAGACATCCTTAGCAGAGCCAAACAGAGCCTAGAAACTCTTCCTGTTCATCACAGAGCCTGGTGTCTTGCAGGAGGCGCAGGAGCTTGCAGCATCTGCCCCTTGCCTTGTACACGTGCGGGTGGCCTCTAGAACCCTTGACATGAAGGTAAAACGTTGTGTGAGTTCAGTTTGATCCTTCCAGCAGCCATGGGGATCCCTGGCATCTCTGCTGTGCTGCCACAGTCAAATGGGACAGCACAAGGTAAATTCAGTGCTGGGCTGGCCCTTCTCATTTCTTCAGTAAATTAATATCTTCACAGCCCCACATCCTACAGAGCCTCGAAGAGAGATGCTGTTTCCACGCTGAACAGATGGGAAATGGGAGCCCTGAAATGAGCGAGGAGAAAGGAAATTTTGACCCATAATAACCCAGACAGTGGAAGGATCAATAAACATTAACTCTGGAGTGTTTCCCAAACACATGTGAAAGGGCAGATCGCAAATTTCCCATCTAAATTGGATTTTGACACAAAGGTCAGCTTTCAAAAACACTGAAACTGGTTTCTGTAAACAAACAAGCAAACAAAGCAAATCCAATTAATTTCTATTAAAAATGTTTTCCTCCAAAAAATAAAGACCTGGAGAGGCAAAAATTTTAGCTAGTCTTTGTGAAATTTATGGGAAAAAACCCCAAGTAATTATGTTTTTAATCCCAAATTTGAAAACACAAAGTAGTATTTCTCCTCCTATCAAGTTCTTTAGCATTGCAGAGCAACTCAGGATAAAATATCACAGCGGACTCAGCATTTATCATCTAAACAACACATTTTGCAAATAAGATGAGAATAATATTTATTTGTGAGAAACAGTCAAAACTTCAAACCCCCTCACATTCAGCACAGTTATGAAGTCTGCTGATCCAAAAGTGTTTGTATTTTTTTCCCAGCTCGCCTGTCCATCTGTTTGGTGTCCTGCAGTGAGAAGCACTATTAGAGGCTGTTGATCTGAGATAAAAGAATCCCGCCCTTAGAGGGGCTCACCCGTGGCTGCCACATCCCCGCACCCGGAGTTTTCCAGGTGCTGCTGCGTGCACAGAGACTGGCACGGGCTGAAACAGCGAGGGGAAAATGAACCCCGCTCTGGCACCGTGAACAGCTGGGAACAGCTGGGGACACCTGGGAACAGCTGGGAACACCTGGGGACAGCTGGGAACACCTGGGGACACCTGGGGACAGCTGGGAACACCTGGGAACACCTGGGAACAGCTGGGGACACCTGGGAACAGCTGGGGACAGCTGGGAACACCTGGGGACACCTGGGGACAGCGGGGAACACCTGGGAACAGCTGGGAACACCTGGGGACAGCTGGGAACACCTGGGTACACCTGGCCCTGCGGCTCTCCGTGTGCTGGCCTGGCACAGGGCGCTCGGACACCGCCACCGATCCGTGTGTCCCTGTCCCGGCCCGGTCCGTGTGCCCGTGTGCCCGTGTGCCCGTGTGTCCGTGTGTCCGTGTGTCCCTCTCCCGGCCCGTGTGTCCGTGTGTCCGTGTGTCCCTGTCCCGGTCCGTGTGTCCGTGTGTCCGTGTGTCCGTGTGTCCCTGTCCCGGTCCGTGTGTCCGTGTGTCCGTGTGTCCGTGTGTCCCTCTCCCGGTCCGTGTGCCCGTGTGTCCGTGTGTCCCTGTCCCGGTCCGTGTGTCCGTGTGTCCGTGTGTCCCTGTCCCGGTCCGTGTGTCCGTGTGTCCGTGTGTCCCTGTCCCGGTCCGTGTGTCCGTGTGTCCGTGTGTTCGTGTGTCCCTGTCCCGGCCCGGTCTGTGTGCCCGTGTGCCCGTGTGCCCGTGTGCCCGTGTGTCCGTGTGTCCGTGTGTCCCTGTCCCGGCCTGGGGCACCGCCACGTCCCCCGCGCTGGCCGAGCACAGCACGAGCGACGCGGCCCGCGGTGAGGACAAAACGGGGACACCGCAGCTGGGTGGCTTTGCAATTTCTCCCGATTAAGGCCATGTAGGTTAATCCGTGCTTTCGGCGGGGTGGTCCGCGCCCGCGGAGCGACGTGCGGAGCGCGGAGCGCCACCAACTCCAGCCGCCAACTTCGGCGGGGAGCGGCGGGCGGGCGGAGCGCGGGGCCGGCCCGGGAGGAGCCCCCGCCGCCTCCAGCAGCGCCGCGGCCCCGGGGCCGGGCCGGGGGATGCGGCTGCGCCCGCCCTGCAGCCCCCGCCCCGCAGCCGCACACGCGGCCCCGCCTGCCCCGCGCTGCGCGCCTGCCCCGCCGGACGGCCCAGGACCCCGGGCAGCCACGGACACCGGACAGCCACGGACACCGGACAGCCACGGACACCACGGACACCGGACAGCCCCCGGACAGCCCCCGGACAGCCACGGACATCGGACAGCCCCCGGACAGCCCCGGACTGCCCCCGGACTGCCCCCGGACAGCCCCCGGACAGCCCCCGGACAGCCCCGGACAGCCCCCGCTCCTCCCCTCCCGCGGCGGCCCCGCGCCGAGCCGGGCCATGGAGCAGCACCTGCGGCGCCTGCGGCAGGAGCTGGTAAGGGCCGGGGGCACCCGGGGGGCGGCTTCGCACAGGGCCCCGTTATGGGTCAGGGTCCCGCCGCTGCCATCCCCGTGAGGTCCCGATTGTGGGTCAGGGTCCCGGCGCTCCCGGTGCTATGAACAAGGGCAGGTCTCGGTTGTGGGTCGGGGGTCCCGCTGCTGCCATTCCCGTGAGCAGGTCCCGGTTGTGGGTCGGGGTCCGTCCGTCTATCGGAGAGAAACCGCGGCGGGGGCGTGCGGGGGCTTTAGGAACAAGCTGCCGGCACGGGTCAGAAATCAGGGAAGCAGCCACAGAGATGGATAGGAGCAACTTTCTGGGAATCAAAAGGCTCTAAAGAGAGCGCGCCGGCACCTCCGGTAGCCTGTGAAAATACTTGTTTAATAGGAAAGGCTTTGTCGGAAAGGAGCGGTGTTTTCGCCCTGCTGCCGCTCCTGCTCGGGGGTGACCCCGGTCCCGGGGCTTGCTGGGGCTTGTCCAGCAGCCCGGAGGTTTTGCTGCTGCTCTGGGGCTGCCTGCGCTGCTGGGCAGCAGGAGCTGATACTGCCCAAAGCAGGGTTCCCGCGGGTCTGGCTCGGAGTCTGCCTTATCCTGATAAATAGATAATGAGAACAAAAGGGGAAGACAAGGCAGAGCGAGAACGGGTGGGTGAAGTTTGTGAATGGCAGAAGCTCCCGGCACGGACCGGAGCGAGGCGATTTCAGCCGGGTCCGTGCTCCCTGCGCAGCGCCCGCACTGCAGGAAGCGCTCAGTGTGTAACCCTGTCCCTGAGGAGCCGGCAGAGCTCCAGCTGTGCCAGGGCAGAGCCGGGGCTGCAGAGCCCCGTGCTGCTCCCGATCCCCGTGTCTTGTGAAACGCGGGCTGGGGCAGTGCCCTGTGCTCCCGATTAATGTGGCAGCAGTGACATTTAACCTGCGGCCGTTCCCAGTGTTTCCCCAGCAAACACAGGAGGTGAAAGACAAACTAAAACAAAGGAAAATGGGAGTCACTGGTGTGCTGTGCCCTGAGTGTGATGAATGAAATGCAAACTGCCAACAAACTGCATGTACAGAATAATCTGACAGCCCTTGAAAATCTGAGCTGGGAGGTGAGATGGGGGAAGGAATAGCTTCCAGAAGAACATCCTAAGAATAAGGTTCCTAAATCTGTGTTTTGTCTTCTAACCAAATCGGTTTTGTTAGCTGAGCAACACTTTCGTAGAGGAGTCTAAACATTGCACCTCTCAGTCTAAAACATGCCTGTCTTGTAGTGCAGAACACAACTTCTGAAGAGTCAATATATTCAACAGAAAGGGACATCCCTCACACTTAACATGAAAGCCAGAAAAAAATACTTTAAAAGAGAAAATTCTGGCTTTGTCCAGTCCTTGCTATAATGCAGGAATTTATTTTTTTAATTGTAAAAATGCAACAGTTTTTATTATATTAATAAACCCTGACGTAGCCTGGCATAAATCTGTGTGTGCTTGGCTTGCAACACTGGGAAGGGGCAGTTGTCACCTTCAGCTGGGCGAGTTGAGACTTGCCTGGGAGCAGCCTGGGTCTCTGTGGAGCAGCCTGGGTCTCTGTACATTTGGTGTTCACAGTCCCATTGGTTCCCCCTCCCACAGCCCGGGTTTGTTGTTCAGAACTTCCTTTCACACGGGTGATCCCAGCGCGGGAGGGCGGCTCTCGGGACATCCGCAGGGTGCAGCTGGACAGAGCTGGGCTCTCCTCCTCCTCCTGCTCCTCCTCCTCCTCCTGCTGCTCCTGCTCCTCCCTGTGAGCCAGCTGCAGGGACAGCGACAGCCCTCGGTGCTGTCCTGAGCGATTCCAGCCTGTCAAAATCCCTTGTGTCCCTGCAGCCCGGCATGGAAAGAGAGGAGCGTTTGTGTAAAGGGCAGGAGCAGCCCGGGGCGCAGCTGGGCCCATCTGCACCGCGGGCAGCGGGAGCTGGGCTGGGCAGCTGCTGCTCTGCCTCTGCCTCGCTGCTGGGCAGCTCCTGCCAGCTCGGCTGCTGCACAGCCACGGGACGTGGGCAGGAACGTGGGCATGGCTTTGGCCACCTTGGAACCAGCGGGGCCCAGGGGAGCCCAGCCCCAGGCATCCCCGTGCTTGTAGGGACACCCCAGGCTGTGCTGTGGCCAAGGAGCGGCCCTGGTGTGCAGGGAGGTTCTGCAGAGCTCCCTCTGTGAGGAGCCAGGCTTTTCAGGGCTGCTCAGTGTCACAGGCTGGGGTTAGAGACTGTCCCATTAGCACAAGTTCAGTTTGGCTCAGTGCAGGCAGCCTCTAGTTTGGTAAACCGGACTTTTGGCCAGTTTTGAGGAGGGGATTTTCTCAAAAAATAGTGGATGTTGGCACAGCTCCCAGTTCCCAAGGAAAGGTTATCTTCCATGCAACTCAATCCCCCAGCAGTGTGAGACAGGAGGATTCCAGCTCTGCTTTTCCTTTCCCTTGCTTTGTTTATTAAAACCACATTGAATGGCTGGGGCTGCTGTGGGCCCCCATGTGTCACCTGTGTCACCTGTGCAAGGCCAGGCAGCGAGCAGCGAGTGGGGCACTGCCCTGCTCTCCCATTTCCTCTGGGGAAGCTGTGCCAGGGCTCCCGAGGATCAATCTGAGCCCTTTCAGGCAGTGAGGAGAGCTCTCCCGTGGCAGCCGCCTGTTCTCCATTGTAAGCTGATCGTTTCTGGCATGTGTGGTGTCCCTTTGATTGGGATTCATTCAGAAGCTTCCACAGCGGTGCCTGGGGAGCCTCAGCTGACACAGCCATTCATCCCCGGGGAGCAGGGCACCCGGGCAGCCTTTCCCCAGGGCTGTGCCAGCTCTCTGCACCTCAGCCCGCTCCAGGAAACGCTTGGGACCCTTTATTCTGGAAGGCCCTGGAGATTTATGGATGCACTGTGGCTGGTGGGAACGTGCAGCGCTGGTTTCCAGGCCTGGTGATGGAATAGGCTGAGCTCCTGCACTCATCTGTGCTTCCCTGGCACTTGTGAAATGTGCCCCAGAGCTTGGGAGGGTGCCACTCCTGCCATTAATCCCCGTCCCCAAAGCCCTTTGCCTGCATTTGGGATCTGCAAACGTTGTCCTGAGGCACAGCAGAGCTGTGCTGCTCCGAGTCACTGAGTTATCCCAGCTGAAGGCTCAGATTTAGCAGGAGCTGTCTGGCTGGGGAATTGGCAGGGAGGAGTTTATTTCTGTGCTGCACATGGCAGTGCCTGCCTGCACTCTCAGACACCAGGACAGTTTGCACTGATCTGCAGCAGCACCACCCATGGTCTGTGGGATGGGGCTCAGGTAGAATAAATCATTGTTTTCTGTCTGGGGCTGCTGAGTCCATGGGGCAGGTTTGTCTGGCACGTGGGGCTGTGTGCCTGTAGCAGGCCAGGGGGCACTGCCACGTTTGCTGTGCTGCTGACCTTACCTTACATTTGGCTGTGCTTGTAACTTTATTTGGCATGTTTTGGTCTTGCAGATGAATCCAGGATATGTTCTGTTGCTTTCTTCTGGGAGGAAAAGTATTTCAGTCACCACTCTGACTGGAACTTTTAATGTTCTTCCTGCACATTTGTCATGAACGCACCGAACGACTGAGTTTGATAGAGTAGACAATGTTTCTTGCTATGAATATCCTGCAGGAATAGAACATTCGGTCCGAGTGCAAATGCAGCCAATTATTTTTACTCTGTCTGACACCGGTGCCATCGCGGTGTCTGTGGCACACCCCGAGGGATGCACTGTGTGCTCATTCCTGCTCTCCCTGCAGGGCAGCTCGGGTGCTGTGCAGCCTGCCAGGCACCAGTGGCAGCCCCGAGGGTCCCGTGCTGCTGCTCAGCCCCTGCAGTGGGAACAGGCAGCTCCCAGTGGTGCAGGTCCCTTCTTGGGTGACCTGGAGGCAGAGCAGAGGGTGGGAGGTGTCACAGATCCCGTTCCTCGGTGTTCTGAGGGAAAGGTGCAAAGGAGTGACGTGGCAGCAGATGTCCTGTCATGTTTAACTGGGGAGAGAGGCGGCCACAGGCTTTGTCCTCTGGGTTATTTCCAGAGCAGTCACCTGAAGATGAGGGTGGATTTTTTCAGACTCCCAGTTTCACATAATCAGGAATGTTAAAGAGCAGATTCCCAGGACAGCGGGTCTGGGCTGAGAACTGGCACTTGTAACCATCATCTTTGGTGGCCACTCTGTCCATCAAGGCCTGTGGTCTCTCTGCTCCTTGGGTTGTGAGTGAAATCTGAAGACTGGAGTTAGTATTGGCCCATTTTTATCCTGGTTGAGGAGAATTGATTTTTCTGATTTGCCTTTAAACACAGGGAGTGTGACTGGGAAGCACAAACAATATCCTTGCAGTGGGAAGGAAGGTGGGTGATGGAGTGGTGTGAACCACATCTGTCAAGGTTAACATCTGCTTAGGGTCTGTTGAAACTGTTGTGAGGGGGAGTCTCTGGTTCAGCTTCAGCATCCTTCCTCTTTCAGATGAACTGTGAGCTCACAGTCAGCATCCTCATGCACACCTACCCTGGGAAGTCAAGGTAAAAGAGAGACTTGGAGTTATTGTGATGGAGTGCAAGGACTGAAAGACAACTGCAGGCCCTTGGCATGCACCAGGGGAAGGAAAAGGAAGGTGGAGTGAGGGGCTGGAGAGAGCTCTGTGTGAGATCTGTGTGCAGCAAGGCCATGCCCAGCCACAACTGCAGGCTTGCAGGAGATTAATCCAGTTAGTGACCCAAAGGGAAACACAGAAACAATATGATCAGCTCAGCAGTTCTAAAATAATTTCAGTCTCTCTTATGTCATCTGCTTTAAATACCAATTGTTTGGTGCTGGCTCTGTTGCCCATCAGGACTATTATTAAGAACTATTTGCCATTTGTTCTTTCCTGTCCTCTTAGCAATAACTTCCTCTGTGTGCATTTTTTTTTCCCTAAGAGCCGGACATCTGTCTTCCTCCTGGCTGTGACAAACACACTCAGGGCTCTTCTTCCAGCCCTGTGCTCAGCTGGAGCTGGGGTGCCTGGGCTTTTCCTCTGCATCAGCAGCACAGAGCTGGGAATGCAGAGAGCTGGGCTGCAGGAGATGGGCTGGGACTGATCCTGAGAGCTCAGAGAAGGGAGGTGTGACAGGAGAATATCGGTTCCCAAAGGGGCTGGGAAAAGTTACTGATTTACCTGGGAAGGGGAAGGAAAATCTGCTTTGTTTGTGGATCTCAGATGTTGAGGCTGAGGTTGATGAAATGCCAGTGGCTGCTGCAGGAGGTTCCTTGGCCAGGCTGTGTTAATCAGTGGTGAAAGATCAGTGATTTACCAGCTGTGGAAAGCAGTTGTGGTTATTGTTTGGGGGTGAGGAGATCATGGGCAGGGTGGCTTCCAGAGCAGTTGTGCTTTGCTGCTCAGGATGGGGCACTTCCAGTGCAAAAACCACTCTGGATATGAACTCTGGCAGCTTTGGTTTGCTTCCCCCCATGTTGAATATTCCCTGACGATCATTCCAAGGTGGAATTTTGAATTTTGCACTTCGGTTTTCAGTGCTTGGGGTGTGTGTGGTGTGAATGAGCTTTGCTTTGGAGGAGCACTGAGGCAGAGCTGCCTGGCTCCCACCTGCACAGGAGGGCTGAGCCAGGTAACACCCAGAGCTGCAGGAAGGAGCCTCTCCCATCACACACCAGGCACCGAGGGGGAGCACAGCCCTGTGAGTACTTGTCTTGCTTTAAAAGGCATGAGTTGGCTTGTGCAGAATTAGACACCAAATTTTTCATGCCAATTTTTTAGGGATTGCAAAAGTTTCAGGAATAATGAGATTTAATTTGAGGCATCTGATTTTTAACTGGTTTATAGAGATGGATTTGGATATCTACAAGTTGTCATGGTTCTAAGAGGGCTTTTTTTGGAAGCAGAGAAGCCAAACCACCACTTCTGTTGAGGGGCTGAGTGTCTCAGGTGAGACAGCCTGGGACACAAATCTGAGTTCCCCCTGCATGAAGTGTGTGACCCAGAGCCAGTGGGGCTACCAGGGCTGTCCCTTCAGCCCGGAGTTTCCATCACCTCCAGCAGTGCATCCATCTGATTCCCAGCCCAAGCTGCTGATTTTTTGCAGAATCCCTTTTTCCTCTCACAGACCAGGCAGTTCAGTCCTGACCCTCTGCCAGGGTGAGCTCTCTTCTCTGGGACATTGTTCTTTTTCTGGAGACTCTCAGGGAAGCCAGTCTGAACTTGGGAGAGCTGAGATCTTGCCAAGGAGGAGAGGCTGGCAGTTAGACACTGGGGAAGGTTTATTTTCCCTCCAGAATTTTCTTTCCAAGGTGAGTGCTCTTAATTGCAGGTGGATGGAATCCAAGCCCCGCAGGCTGCTTGGTCACCAGGCAGTGACTTCACTTTGGGCTGGGCTTCCCTCTCCCTCCAGTTCTGTAGAAGACTGAGCAGACACCAAGAAGAGCAACAGATAGAGCAGAGGGGGTTGGTTCGCTTCATTTTTTAGCTTGCACAACCCAAAATCCCAGCAGCGTTTGCCAGCAGGGTCGGAAGTCTCAAGAGTTGAGAGCTCAGTCGCTGCTGGTGGGGCTCCCATTGCTGGAGGGGCTGGAGGGTGGGGTTCCCATGCCAGGGCAGGGAACCAAGGGAGCCAAAGCCTCCTCTCCTCTCCTCCATGGTGCTGCCAGGGCTCAGCCCAGGACCCCCAGGACTCCATCCCACACAGGAGAGCATCCCCTCCTCCTCTGCAGCAGCCCCGCTGGTGCTGGCCCAGCCTTGGCAGCCCCGGTGCTGTGTTCAGGGGGAGACAAAGCCCCCGGGGCTGCTGCCCTTGGGCCCGGGCTGTTCCCTGGGCTGCCTGGCCCTGCCTGTGAGCAGAGAGCCCAGCGCTGCTCAGCGCTGCCCAGGAAGGGTTAATGCTCCCCGGGCTGGCCTGGCTGAGCCTGGCAGGGCTGGGCACAGCTCCTGGGGCCGGGGGCATTGCAGGGCAGATGCCAGGGGGTGGCAGAGCCGCGGCCAGGGCAGGACCCTGCGCTCCCCAGGGCGCGATTACTGCGCCGGGGGATTTGGTGGGAATGGCCAATGAGGGGCCGGGCTGGCTCCAAATCCAGCTTCTTCCAAAGCCCCAGATAAACCAGACTGCCATTAATAAGGCAAGGAAGGTTAGGAGGAGCAGCATCTCGGCAGATCTGGAGAGGTAAGGTGCAGTTCTGCCCGAGGCTCGGAGTGGGAACAGGAGCGCAGTGAGGCTCCTGCAGCTGGGACATTATTTGCACATCTGCAGCAGGGGTTTATTTGCTGATGTTAAGAAATGCCATAGCTGGAGGCTCGGGGTAGTGGAATCAGGAAGCTGAGCACAGATTTTCTGTGTCTTTGTAGCTGTGTGCTCATTGTGGGTGATAAACAAGTTCCTTGAGAGAAAAGCTCTGAAAAATGGCTGTAACCTGCTGGTGAGTTTAGTTCTAGGTTCTGGGGTTTGAAATGGGGATTTGTGGTCAGAAACTGTTGAGCAGTGTCCCCTTAGAGAGCTGGGCTGTCACAGTTCTCTGATGGCTGCTCTTCCTCGCTGCTCAGCTCCACGTACAGAGATGGAAATAGAGCGAGTAATTGAACCAGCTTACTTCAAATGAAGGACATGTAGAAAATAAAGTAATGTAAAGCTGAACATAGGAATAACAGAAAAAGCCGGCCTTTTTCACCCTGATCTTGAGATCTGTTGCTGTACAAAAAATGGTGATGAGCTTTTTAAAGTGCTGGTGACAGCGTAGGCTGGAGCCTCCCTGCACGGGTAATCTCTGCAAACCACCTCAGCCAGAGTGGCACGGCCTCACTGCAGCCCCTCCGTCCCTCCCCTCTCCTGCCCCTTCCCACTCCCCTCCTGCTAAAAATGACTCAGTGGCAGCTGTTGGGAAGTGGAGCCCGTTTGTTTCCTGGTGCTGCTTGGGGAATGTGATCAGACCCTGCATGAGAGAGAGAAAGCGGCAGAGCGAAAGAGGAGGGGGAGTTGGGAAGCTCTGGAGAATAACTTGCTTATTTTAAGCCTGGTGTAGAAAGTTCAATCTTTGTAGTGAGGTTCAGGGATGAAGCAGAACTGCTACTAAAGGTCCTAGCCTGGGAATCAAAGAATTCCTGATTGAATGTAAGTAATCCTGGAGTTTGTTGGTTGTTCTGTGCAAAATTTCCAGCGCATTGAAATGTCTTTGATTGTCCTCTAGCAAGAGGTGCCTGTGCTGAGGGCATTGAGAGCTGGAGATGGGTTATAGAATAACAATTTAATTCTTCCTGGGGTTTATTTTTAATCTACTTGAGCACTTCAGGTAAGGAAGCAAGGCTGTGTTCTGGCTCCTGATTTCAGATGGTGACAGGGCACAGAAGACTCAAAAGCACAAGAATATTCTAAAACTGGTGGCAGCCAAAACCATTCATAGTTCTACACCTTGGGCTTCTGCCAAGCAATTAATGGAAACCCAAACTCTTTATTTTTGTTGTCAGGTCAAACAATCCACTTCTGTCAGCTCCTCTTAATCCTAGAGGGACACTCCTAGAAAAATCTGAGGAGAATCAGAGTGCTGTTGGCTGAAGTGGGTGCAGTGCAGGTGGGATGGGTGGCAGAGGTGGTCAGGAGGGAGGGCATGGCCCAGAGAGCTGCTCAGCCCTGCTCTGCTGCCCCGTGCTGCTCTGGGGACACTGCTGGGGACCCTGACCCACAGGGATCCTGACCCCCGGTACCCTGACCCACAGAGACACTGCTGGGACCCTGACCCACAGGGACCCTGACCCACAGGGCCCCTGACCCACAGGGACACTGCTGGGGACCCTGCTGGGGACCCTCACCCATGGGGACCCTGACCCATGGGGACCCTGCTGGGGACCTGACCCAATGGGGACCCTGACCCATGGGGACCCTACTGGGGACCCTGACCCACAGGGCCCCTGACCCACAGGGACACTGCTGGGGACCCTGACCCATGGGGACCCTGCTGGGGACCCTGACCCATGGGGACCCTGACCCAATGGGGACCCTGCTGGGGACCCTGACCCATGGGGACCCTACTGGGGACGCTGACCCACAGGGCCCCTGACCCCGGGGCCCTGACGCGCTGTGCTCTTGCCTTGGCAGCTGTCCATGAAGGAGGTGGGTGACGGGCTGCACGAGCAGATGAACTGCATGATGGGCGCCCTGCAGGAGCTGAAGCTGCTGCAGGTGCAGACGGCCCTGGAGCACCTGGAGCTCTCGGGGCGCCGCAGCCCCGCGGGGCAGCGCCGCTGCTGCCAGGGCAGCGCGGGGCCCGGGCAGGAGCCAGGGCCGGGGGCCGCCCGGGGACGCTGCCCCCCGCGCCCGGCGCGTCCCGTGCCGCTGCCAGCCGGGCCGTGCCAGCCTGCTGCGGCCCCGGAGAGCCAGCGGCCTGCAGACGGCCCCTGCTGCTCACAGAGCCTCTGCGGGGAGGCCGTGTGCCCCCCTCAAGGACCTCGCTGGGTGCCCTGGGCGCCGGAGCCCGGCCAGGGCACGGCTGGGGCACGGCCGCCGTGCCGGGAGTGCCCGGGCTGCGACGAGGGCCACGACTGGACCTCGTCCCTGATGTCGCAGAGCAGGAACCGGCAGCCGCTGGTGCTGGGCGACAACATCTTCGCAGACCTGGTGGGCAACTGGCTGGACCTGCCCGAGCTGGACAAGAAGGGGGAGAAGGGCGAGGGGTCCCTGTCCGCGAGCAGGTCCCAGGAGCTCTGCAGGAAGTTCTCCCTCACGGCCAACATCTTCAAGAAGTTCCTGAGGAGCGTCCGGCCGGACCGCGACAGGCTGCTCAAGGAGAAGCCTTGCTGGCTCCCTCCTGAGGACAAACGGCCCCAGATCTCCAAGAGGTCCAAAAAGATCAACAAACTCAAGGGGACGTTTTACCTGCCCCTTCACGGGAACCTGCAGAGCCATCACAGCAAAGCAGAGAGGTGCCCAAGGGCAGAGGGCCATGGTGAGCACCCCAAAATGGGCACCAGGAAAGTGCCCGACCCCAGAGACTACAGCCAGGGCTTTGACATCAACACGGCTGTGTGGGTGTGAGCCTGCCCTGCCCAGCACCTCCACACCCAGCCAGGGCCACCCACCTGCTCAGGGGACTCTGAGCTCTCCACAGGGACAGGAGAGGATCCTGCAGAACGTGCTGCACATGGAATTTTCTGGACAACTACAGCTTCAGGGACTGCCTGAGCAGCAGCTGGTGCAGCCCCACGTGGGGAGACCTTTGGGGACCAATATTGGCAAAAATAATGCAAATCTTTAGCAGCTTTATGGTGAGTGGTGCCACAGGTGAGCAGCTCCTGGTGCCAGGCCCATTCCATCATCTCCAGCTCAATGGTGCAGCACAAAATCCACGGTGTGCATGTGTGTGTATGAGTGTGCAAATATATATATATATAGTTTTGTTAAAAAAAATCTATTCCTGCTTGTGTGCACTTGAAACTGGGTTACAAACCAGGCATCCCAAGCCTTGTACCTGAAGCACTTGTTATTTAAATGGAAAGAAATAAGTTTGAATTTATAAGACTTGAACAACTGCTGAGTGGGGGGCAAACCCCCAGCTCTGGGGGGTTTCCCCTTAAACTGTGTCCCTGGTGCCCTGCCAGCATCTCTGCCTCCCCTGCCAGCCAAAGCAGGGGCACGAGGCTCCTTACAGGGGGTTTGTGACCGGGGCTCTCGGTGGCTTTGCCCCTTCCCCTCCCCTCGTCCCTGTGGGTTGTTCCAGGTGCAGCACTGCTGAAGTTCCTTGTTGGATTTTCACCCGGATGCAAAGTTCAGTGCCCCATCTCCCGTTGTGTTCCCTGTTGCTGTTGTACAAACCCTGCTTTGACAGAACCAAGTTCTTCAGTGTCCGACTCTCCAAGAGTTTCCAATAAAGTGGGATTGTCTCACTCTGCTCTGGGACACCCTGGCTCTGTTCCCTCACTCTGGGGGTTCCCTGGCTGCTCCCACCCGGGGCTGGGCAGGCTGGGGAGCACCAGAAGAGTTTCCATTGCAGGAGAGGTTGTGAATCAGGGCAGAGCTCCCTGCCAGGGGCCAGCACTGCTGCAGAGTGAGTCCCTGCTCACCCTGCGCCTCCCCATCCCTCCTGCCCCCCAGCAGTGACACGGGCAGGGTTTGGGGTCTGGGGTTTGGGGTTTGGGGTCTGGGGTTTGGGGTCTGGGGTCTGGGGGGAAGCTGCTGCCCAGGGAAGAGCCCCAGAGCTGGCTGGGGAAGGGGCCAGGCCAGGGATGTGGCACAGGGAGCACAGAGGCTGCTGCTGGCCCTGCAGCCCCGTTCCCCCAGCAGGTGCTCGGGCTGTGCAGCAGCTCCCAAACCTGTTCCTCTCACTCCACTGAGGAGAGGCTTGTGTGAGAGCAGGGCCATTCTTCACTTTAATAAACACCCAGCTCTGCTCCCGCTGAGCTTCCCCAGGCTGAGAGGCCGGTGCAGCAGAGGCGTGCGGGCAGAATTCTTTTTCTGCTTTGCAAATTAAATATAGGCACAAGGCAGGCCCTGCTTGTGCCCATACAAGGAGAGGAGCAGGGCAGCACCCGAGCTCAGCACTTGTGCAGGAACCTGAGCAAGCCTTGTCCTTCCTCTCATGGGCTCCAGGGCTGCTGCTTCCCCCTGCCCCGCTCCTCTGAATGCTGAGAGGCTGCTTGGGAAGCGTTTTGTTTCCCTGCTCTTTTATCAGTAGTTCATCCTGTTTGTTACCTCCCCTCTGCTTTCCAAAGGGTCACCAAAGAGAAGGAGTTTTCCAGAGAGAGGAGCAGCTTTGCATTAAAATAGGATTTTCCAGGGTGTTTGCAATGACAAATCCAGTGTGGGCTAGGCTTCAAACGCTTGGAAATAGCGAGAAAATGCAGCTGCATCCCAAAGTTCTTAAGAGAAAAAATATTTAATAAATATTCTTTATAGACATTCAAATAATGAAGAATATCACCCAAGCCAGACATCCTCCCTAATTTAGTCTCCAGAGCAGGATCTGCTCATAGATCAGAGTTGGATTTGTGAATTACCATTTCACTTCTCCAGGGACTTTTCCTGAAATTATAATGGCTTTTGCTCCTCTTTTTTTCCTTCATGAAACTGCCACGAAATTGTTCTCCATTATTAAGGATGAAACCCAGCTAATTAGCACAATGGCAGTGTCTGAGGAGGCCGTGGCTGTGTTCTGCATGGCTGATAGGAGTGGCTAATCCCAAGCACGGGACAAGAATGGGAGGAGGAGGCTCCCCATGGACCTGCCTTGGGATTTATGGAAATCTCTGGTCAGCCTGAGCCAGGGGCTGGGTGAGCAGCACAGCCAGGGCTCCAGGCACCCAGCACTGCAGCTGCACAGCCCGGGATGGGTGAGTGCTGCTCTGGCCCATATGGCCCCATGGCAAGAGAGGATTTGGCTCTTAGCGTTAATGGAGCGCTTGTGCAGGAGCTGCTGTGCTCCCTGGGCTTTCCCTTCCCGGAGCCCTCACCCTGCTCTCCAGCCAGATGGCCTCCAGAAGGCTCCCAAATGTGCCTGTAATTAAAGAGCCTTGATTTCCAAAGCCATTTCACAGCTTATTCTCCCGACAATGAGATGGGGCTTCTTGGGCTGCTGCGGGGCAGGAGGAGAGGGAAACACGGCTGGCTGCCCTCAGGAGCATTTGTGTTTGCTGTTTGCTGTTTGTGCAGCGGCAGGACAGGGCCAGGGGCTTTAAACTGGAGGAGAGCAGCGTTGGACGGGATATCGGGAAGAAATTCCTCCTGTGAGGGAGCGAGGCCCTGGCACAGGTGCCCAGAGCCGCTATGGATCCCTGGCAGTGCCCAAGGCCAGGCTGGCAGGGCTCAGGGCAGTTCAAGGTGTCCCTGCCCAGGGCAGGGGACTGGAATTAGGCCATGTTCAAGGTGCTTCCCAATCCATGCCATTCTGCAGCTCTCCCCGGGCTCTCTCTGCTCCAGACAATCGCGGGGCTCACGCCCAGGGCAGCCAGCCAGGCGTTTCTGCTGCAGCTGCCTGATCTGCATGTGCTCATGCTAATGGTGTGGAAACCATTCAGGGCCGGCTTTGTGCTGGGTTTCCTGTGCCCTGAATGGAGCTCGGGAAAAGGAGAGGGAAAAGGGTCCCTGCATTTGACATCATTCAAGAGGGGAACTTTCTGTGTGCTGCTCACCTGGTCTGCAAAGGTGTGGCTGATGTGATGCTGTTGGCAGCATGGTTGGAGCTTTGCACGGAATTTACGCCTTAAAGAGGCAAATAACAGAGAAATTCTTATTTATTCCTAAGAGAAGTGGGAGAAACGTTCTGTTTGCAGCTACAGAGTATTGGGAAATTCTCTGGAGATAAGCTGCATTGCCAGGAAAGTCGAGCAAAAGTCCTCCTTCAGCAGGGGTTTTATGGCAGCCGTAAATCACCCAGAGATGGAGGGGATAAGGCACCTCAAACAGCCAAACCTGCTCCTTCCTCCTGCACCCCGCAGGAGCCGCCCCAGCCGGGCTCCATCGGGCCTCTGTGTGCTGAAATCTGCCCAGAACAGCCCTGCAGCCCCTCCAGGGACATCCCCGCTGTCCCCACCCCAGGGATTGTCCCCAGCAGGGTTCAGGTCCTTTGCCATGATGAGATTTCACGGGACAATTCCATGTGACACACCTGGGCAGCCCTGGGGAACCCAGAGGAGCTGAGGGCTCAGCAGGACACAGAGCCCCTCATCTCTGAGTGCATCACAGCTGGAGAAAACAACCACCAGGTGAAGGACTTGCAGCCTTTCCTGTGGGACACGGCAAAGTCCCCAACACCACGCTGTAAATTAATTATTTAGATTCCAGCCTGCAATGGCCAGATGCCTCCAGCCTTCCCAGAGCCCCCAGGAGCTCGGAGCTCTCCACGTGCATCTCAGTGGGCTGAGGCTCCTCCTGCCCTGCAAGAAGCAGGAGTGGAACCAGAACAACTCTCAGCACTCGGGGTCCTCAGCCATTCCATTTCCTCTGGAACTGGGGCAGCCCCTGAAGCCTCTGAGCTGTAGGAAAGGTGCTGTTTGTCCATGGGGACAAACCATACCCGTGGGTATGGTTCAGACAGTTCCCATTTCCATTTGTGGGGCCTCCGTGCCTCAGGAGGGCCCTGTTCTCCTCTGCCAGCTCTGCATTAACGGGGATCCAAAGGCAGTTCTGTGTTTGTAGCCTTCAGGTTTGGGGCATTGCCAGCCTCCCCCACATAATCCAGGGATGGGGCAGCCCCGGGCTGGGAGAAGCTCTGAAGGAAGCAGGGGAGGCGTTTTCCTGGCAGGAGCCAGGGAAGAGCCAAGAGGGAAAGAGTTAAAAGCTGTCTCCAGGCAGGAGAACAAAACCACCATTGCACTCATCTCGCTGCTGTGCTCATCTAATTACGTTATTTAACAGGATACCCTCTCATTGATTTTAATTACTCACATAATTTGGGAAGTAATTCACAGCACATCCCTGCAGGGTGCACAAGTCTGAGCTGGGAACAATGCACCGGAGTCTTTGCCAGAGGAGGGAGGGAGGGAGGGGAAATGAGCCCAGGCCCCCAGGCCAGGGGGATCTGGGGACCTGAGCCCTGGGAAAGGCTCCTCGGGGAGCTGGGGTCACCTGTGGTACGATATTGTCACCCATGGTACAGTAGTGTCATCTGAGGTGTGATATTGTCACCCATGATATGATATTGTCACCCATGGTACAGTAGTGTCATCTGAGATACGATATTGTCACCTGTGATATGATATTGTCACCCATGATACGATATTGCCACCCATGATATGATAGTGTCACTCATGATATGATACTGTGACTCACAATATGATATTGTCACCCATAATACAATATTGTCACCTGCAGTACAATATTGTCACCCACAGTACGATATTGTCACCTGTGATATGATACAATATTGTCACCTGTGGTTTGATATTGTCACCTTCAGTACAATATTGTCACCCACAGTACAATATTGTCACCTGCAATATGATATTGTCACCTGCAGTACAATATTGTCACTCACAGTATGATATTGTCACCCACAATACAATATTGTCACCTGGAACATGCTGCAATATTGTCACCCACAA